GCTATAAATTGCCACATCTGATTCACAATTCTCCCTTAGACGTTGATTTAAATTCAGAATTAGACTACTCACAGGAGCAGAAGATGAAGGATGTGCATGTCTTCCAGGAAATAAAGATTCTGCTACAAAAGAGAATGAATATTAGATGCTGGAAAGTTCATAAACAAATTTATACACATATGCTAGATAGCACTTCTCTGACAGTTTCAGTTCAGACCTGTATTATATTCTTTTGGTTCCTGTCTTGAGGCTTCTATGACCCTGTAGTACCAACTGCCCACAAGAAGCTGCTTGATGCTCAAGCATGTGAAACTTGGAAGTGGGAAGGAATGAACCCCTCTTGTTTCACCCTTGATCAACAGGAGACAAGAGTTAATGGATAAATTCCACTGTCCCTTGTCCCCCAGTATTCCTTAATCACTCCTATTATTGGAGTCTTATATTAATCTCTTATTCCTGCCTTTCAGTCCTGCTACCTGAATCATTGTCCCCAGAGAAGACCTGCATGCAAGGTGGTGCCTTAGTATCTGTTTTGTAAAAACCCAAGCAATGACCACTGGCCCCACAATTGGCCCCAGAAAAACAAAAAGACCTTCCTGATGGATTTTGCAGCAGAGGCACTGATAGGCAGGTGGCAAGTGTGACAGCGATTAGTGAAAAAGAATTAGCCCTGGCCCTGGAATTGCCCTAGTCAGAATACAGATTATCAAGACTTCTGAGTGCAGGTACAAATATAAGCCATTGAGTTCTGCAGTAGTCATGGTGTATGAATGGTGGGTAAGCAACCAGAATAATGAGTATTTAGTAACTGTGAAAATCTTGAATAAGGACAATAGTAATTCAAATAATGTTTCTGCCAAGTGGCAGAAAAAATATTCACACAGGTATATATGACATGGGTTTTTTAATTTCATTTTTATTCTAAAATTTTTTCTAGACATAGGAAACATCTTACAACATACAATAAAAGTATTAGCATTGTGGTATAGTGAATAACAATATATCACTTCCCAAGGAAACGAAAGATTACCAGCCACCTAAATACTTCGTGCTATCATTTGGATTTAGAATGTCCCTCCAAGACCCTTTAAGTGCTGGGGCCAATGGGGGGTGGGGCTGGGATTATTGGGGTCTCTGCCTTCCAAAGAGATTTACAAATCTAGCCACTTTCTGTCTCCCTCTGCATCCCAGCTGAGATAAAATGAACAGTTTCTTCTACTACATGCTCCGCATCACAATGTGGGCCTCAACATAAGTCCAAAAGTAGAGGCCAACTGACTATGGACTGAAAATTGAGCCAGAATAAATTCTTCTTTATAAGTTTATTATCTCTGGTATTTTGTTAAAATAACAGAAAACTGATCAACACCCCCACACACACCATGTATATCATATGGTATTTACATCCTATTTCTTGCTAATGACCACCTCCTTTCCTTCTAAGAACTTGCCACTAATCTGCTTTTTGGAGAAATTATTTTCTTGTCTTTGCTGGTCATTATGTTAACTTAAACAAATAAACTTTAATTTTGCTTGTTATTGAAGTTCATTAAATGGCAAAATAGTATGCATTTATATACCTTCTTTCTTTTGCAAACCATGATGTTTCTGAGATTTATCCAATTTCATTAATATTTTGTCAGCAGGTCTATAGGAGTTGTTAGTGAATGGCATAATTTCTCTGCTCAGTGAAAATTTACTGTAAATTATTAAACACTTGAAATATAAACCCAGACTCACCCATGTATATCTACAATTTTGTGTAGCTTCAGTTTATGTTTTTCATGACTATGAATTTCCATTTTATGAGCATGCCAGAATTTATGTTTCCTCTACTTTGATGGACATTTAGGCTATTCTTGCTTGGTGACATCATGTACAATGCTGCTAGTGACTTTCATGTATGTGTATCCTGATACAAATGTGCATAAATTTCTCTAGGGTATATGTATATCTGGCACTGTATCTTCAGATATTCATATCATCAACCTTAGAACTGATTCTCAAAATGCTATTTATATTCCCATCAACAATGTAAGAAAGCTCTCAGTTATCACATAGGCTCACAAACAAGTAGCATTTTCACACACTTTGATTTTTGTCAATGATGAATGTATACTGGTTATTAAATTGTAATTTTTATACTAATTTCTAAATTTGCTCATGAGGTAAGCACATTTGAGTTTGTTTATTGACCATTCAAATTCTTACTTATGTGTTGCATATTCAGTAATTTTGTCATTTTTTAAATTAGATTGATTTTTTTCGTTTATTTGGAGAATTTTTGTATTTTGGATAAGGTATTTTTATGAGTTGCAAATATATTCTCTTATTCTGTGACATGTCTTTTAATCTTGACTGTAATTAATTTTTTGCTGAAAAACAATGCTAGAGTTATCATCAATGATTGCATCCCTTACTATTTTCTCTGTTTACAGAAATGTTATTTTGAAAAAGTTGCACACTAAGGGCCAGTCTACCTGGAGGATGAATAAGGAGTCAGCTTAATAGTCTTCATAAACAATGAATGAGAGGCTTATTGAAGAAAATAGATTTAAACAAACTTTTGTCACTATTCCATGAGTTAATTTCAACTCACTTCTTTGGAAATAAATAAAAATGCTCTTGCTTATGAAAAAAATAGAAATCCATGCATATATCTGTGATGTTTGTGTTGTTGATTTACCTTAGAAGGACAGAAATTATCTCTAATGCCTAAAAATGGGTATGTTTCATTATTTGGTCTCATTTTTTTCTGTTACCGAAAGGGGGAAAACTGGGTCTTCTAGAGTTGAAAATTGAAAATTGAGTACCTAGTTAGAGAAGAAAAGGGACCTCAGAATTCACTAGCTACTTTTCTGGATACATGGCATTTTTTCAAGGAGGTTTTGGCATTCCCATAAGTATATTAACACTCCTTTTCCAAGCCTCTGAAGCTCCTCAAGCAATTAACAAATAGTTATATTGTGACCACATGTGACATAAATCACAAGTTCTTCTGTCCCTCTAAAACTTTATTCAGCATCAACCTTTGGACCAATTCACCAAGGTATAATAGCTGATAATTTATGAATGTAATTTAAAGGAAGCAAGTCTGCTTTGTGATTACAGTAGTAAATAAAAGATTCAAAGCCTCATTGACCCACTGTGAAATTTACTTTTATTTTCCTCCCCTGGATGTTTATGGAAGTAAGCAAGCAAAGTCCCAGAAAGGTGATAGATATACAAAAATGCAGTGATTGCAAAGTTTAGACAATAGCAATAAAAATGAGGAAAATTATCAGAAAGAAACAAAGGTGACTAGGTCCCTTTTTTTTTTTTTGCTACTGAAGAAAAGTGGTTTGGATAATAACAGTATGTTGGATACTTAGGCAGTGTAACAACACTTAGAGAAAATGCAATCTAGTGAGAGCCTAGAGATAACACTTTATGATTTGTCATTAAGATAATTTAAAGAAGAATTCACCTATTTGATAAATGAGATATACTGGTATGGGACCAGGTACTCATCTGAGACTTTCACTACCAAAGTAACCATTTCTTTCTCATTTTTTAAGGCTAAAACTCAAGTAGAAATGATAAAACCTTTGTGAATTTGCAAATACTAAGTTTGCCAACTGGATTCCTTGAAGGTTTGCATTAGCCTGAGGCTTAGATTGAAGTTCAAATAAGCTTATAGATGAAGTGAGTTCAATAGAATCTTTCTAAATTAATGGATATTAATTATAGAGAATAATGGGTTTCATTGTGATATATTCCTAATATCTGAATCATACTTTGATCAAATTTGACCCCCTATTTTACTCCTTTGCCCTCATGTTCCCCTATTCCCAACCCTCATTTTCTTCTCTAATTCTCTCTTCTACTACAATGTCATCTTTTCCCCCTTTCTTGTAGATATTACAGGTGAGGAAAAATATATGACACTTTCTGAGTCTGGCTTATTTCGCTGAAAATGATGATCTGCAGTTCTATTCATTGTCCTACAAATAACATAATTTTGTTTTTCTTTATATCTGAGTAACATTCCATCCTGTATATATTTTACATTTTTCTATCCATTAATCTATTGGTGGACACATAGGCTAATTCCATAACTTGGATATTGTTAATTGTGATATAGTAAACATGGGTATGTGGGTATCCCTATAGTATGTGACCTAATGTTTTCTGGTATATTCCAAGGGGTGGTACAGCAGGATTATATGTTAGTTTTATTTTTAATTTTTTAGGAACTATTATATTGATTTCCATAGTGGCTCTATAAATTTATATTCCCACCAAGGTTATAGAAGAGCTCTTTTTTCACTCTATACTTGCCAACATTTACTTTTAAAAAAAAATTTATTCTGGATGATACCCATTCTGACGGGTGAGATGGAATCTCAATATAGTTTTGATTTTTTTCTTTCCCTGAGAACTAAAGAAACAGAACATTTTTTTCATATATTTATAGGCTATTTGTATTTCTTCTTTTCAGAAGTGCCTTTTCAATGTATATGTCATTTGTTGAATAGGCGATTTGATTTTTTTGGGTATTCTTTATACATTCTGGATATTAATCCTCTTTTGGAAGAGTAGATGGTAAAGCTTTTCTCCAAATCTGTAGGCTATTCCTTCATTCTATTGATTGTTTCCTGTGCTGTATGCAAGCTTTTTAATTTGATGTAATCCCCTTTGTTGATTCTTGATATTATTTCCTAAACTATTAAGAGTCAATTTTCAGGAAGTTATTTTCTGTTCTTATACCTCATCTTTCCACACCAATGACATTATAATATGAAGTGACAACCAGGAACACACAGAACTAAATACATTAGGGTTAGGAGCTGATGTATTTGTGACTTTGCCTAAAACAGTTTTAGAATTCCATTTTAGAAGTTTTTTTTTTTCTTCTATAGAAGAGTTCAGAATAAGTGGCAATAAATATTAATGAGTTTGTTACATGATATTTCTGCCAAGATTAACATTTAGTTTACCTTAATTATTCTGTAGTAAAACTACATATATCTTTCATAAAGATTTGCTCGCTAAATATTTGTTTCAGCAATTGTTGCATAATAATAATTTCCATGTAGCCAGCATCATTTTTATTCACCGTGGGCTTTTACATAGACTCTCTTACTTTTGTAAAATGCCTGTGAGGAAGAAAGGCAATTATTATAAGCAAGAAAACCAAGGCAGAGCTACATAATTTGTCCCATGCCATGAAGATACTACACGACAGAACTGTTTATGAAGATGAGCCATGGAGCAATGTTTTACTATTTCATGCCTATGAATCAATTAAAAAGGAGAATCTGAGAGTGCTTGCTCCTGCAATATAAACTGTGTATTTAACATGGTGGAAAAGATAATCCAGGGGTTGTGAAGAGGGCATCCAAGGTCTTCCCTTTACTGACCTGTGTTATCATTTTCACTTGTATTTTCTCAAGTTAAATAAGATTGCATTTAGTGTCTAATTTACATAATTCATCTGAAGGCAAAGAGGATCACATGGGGACCATGCTGCAAGAGTACAAAGTTTTGTTTTCTTACAATTAATGCTCTAGTTTGACCTATCCAGCACATCTTTTAGGTTACACTCAAGAAAATCTTTGTGTATCAGAAGCAAAGAATTTCTAGGGCCTCGGCAACAACAACAGAACCATGCTATACTCATTGAACTTGTACCAGGGGTCAGAAATGGCTGGCAATTGCTATGTTGTATGGTACCATGAATCTCCTTTGCGAAAGGAATGGTCACTTAATTTTCTCTTCCACACTCAGCGAAGAACTGGGTCTTAAACTCAGGTGATCTGACTCTAAAAGTCCAAAAACCTGCTAATCTTATAAATATTAAAAACAAATTTCCATAGTTGTGCACAATTAGATAAAAAAGTTGAACATTTCTGAAAATGTTCTAGATTTTGTGATAATGATAAAAGGTAATTTCTAATTTTCACAGTTTTCGACAATATTTAAGTATAGCATTTTTGCTGCAAGATCTGTGTCATATTATCTATCTACAAACAAGGAATACATAGGCTGTGACAGATGTTTGCATTTTCAGTTGAGATTATTAATTGACTTTTCCAGTGTAAATTAATATTGGAGGAAGTTGTTGGGCTCTGAACTTCCTTCAAACAGAGCAACTTCAGTTATTTTGATTTCAGGGATATTTTTTTCTTTTCATACTTACTAAAAATAATCTTGTCTGTGGGAATGATTATAGCACTTATTTATTTAAATAATAAGTAAAACTCCGAAAAGATACTAAGGTAATTTGGAGAAAAATGAGAGTGGCTGCCTTCATTCTGCAATATTCTGCAATATTCACAGATCACGATAAAAATATCTCTCTTTTCTTAATACAAAAAGGAAAGTGAGGCTTATGTTGAGGTTTTTTACCATTTTATTTGCTCAAATACTTTCTCGATTTATATTCTTTTTCCTTTTTAAAAATAAAGAAGAAAATCTCAGGGAAAAGCTATTTCCTAGGACATTATTTGGGAAATTGGTTTCTTTCTCTAGAGAAGTAAAACCTCATTGCCATCTTTCACAGAATAATTTTTTAGAATATAAGCTGTGAACTCTAAATTTATTGTCTTGTGCTTTGTTTGGCTTTAGATAAAAAACCCCTTTGTTGATATACATTGAAAATAAATTTGGAATGAGTTGCATTTGAAAGTGAGGGGGTACATTTGACATTTATGATATGCAGATGTATATTATAGTACAGGTATGTGTGTATATATATACATATATATATACTTTTTTGGTGATATGTATTTACTTATGTTGAAGGTATATGTTGTTAAACAATATAAAGAAGAGGGTTTTTAGACAAACAAGTGAGAGAATTATTGAGGGCAGATAAGACTTTAAAAATTGACTGGGATTTAGAGAGAAAAATATTTTCACAAGGTAGTTAGGCAAACTGAGAAAATGTGTATATATATAAATATATAAATTTTGAAGCTTGTGAGTTTCTTTTATATACTTCTGTCTAAAAGCAATAGAGGGTAAAATAAAATGAACAAAAAAAAATACAAAGTCAAATAGATGAGACTGTGTGTTGAAATTCACATGTGCATTATATCCAAGAGGACAAATACTGACCAGCATCAAGTCAGGGCCTTAGTTTTTTTTGTTGTTGTTGTTGTTGTATTGTTTTATTTTGGTTTTTGTTAATGGATTTGTCAAGGACAAATATTATTTAGCTATGAACTGTGACTAGCTCATTGTATACAATATGAAAATAATGTAAAACTCCATGGATGAAAGATAGAAGAAATAAGTAGGTGAAAGATAATGCTAGAAAAGAAATTTATTATATTAGGCCATTCATGATTTTACAGAGTATTGGAGGTTTATCTTCTGTAGTGAAGATGCCAACTCTGAAAGAAACATTTTTGAATTTTCATCCTGAAAGAACATTTTATGTAAGTAATAATACTAGATGATAGGGCACATTATTATTCTACCTAAAAAGCAAAGCTAGAAAAGTTTTGGCTTCTTTTTATAGAACTGTATCATTTGTTTAATGATTAATATAAGCATTTTTGGAAGATTGGTGGAAATGTACTTCCAAAGAGGAGATTCTGGAGCATTTACATAGTACTAGTATTTTCATGCTAAACATTTAATTTTCTGTCTAAATTTGACAATATATTGCTCTAAACTGCACAACTAACTCCCATAAAAGCAGAATTGATACATGAGTTGTTAACTATATTACTATCATTTAAGAGTGATGTTCCACTTTTTCATAAATGTCTCCCATCTTTGATTTACTTATCAGTGGTTTTGAATTCTCACAAAGAACAAATTATTTAAAGCTTAAGCAACTTGGGCAGTTGCTTTTAAATTAACATCATTTAGTACTTGCTACTCTCATCATTGGAAGGCCATTGAATAATTTGAATATGTGACTAGCTAAAATGAAGATGGTTTTATTATTTATGAATACTCTAATATGAATGCTTTAGAACATGTATTGCTCCATTACATTAAATTATAGTACAACATAAAACTGTCAGACTAGATTGTAGGTACATAGTTCCTATGGAGTTTTTCTTATATTTTCCTGTAGGTTTTCTTTTCTTGTAATATCATATATTCATTTTTTGGTTCATGTCTTTCTTCTGATACTCTAAGGCACTGGTTCACTGACTTCTTGATCTTGGGTTTGATGTCAGAAACTGATGATTTCCCAGAAATAACATTTTCTATAATAATATCAAAATTAAATGGAGACTAATAGGCTGAGTTGATAAACTTTTAGAATTGAAATCTAAATTCCAGTTTAGAACTGGGATCACACCTAGTGCAGTGTCTCCCTGTACCTTTTGCTGTGATATTTTGCTCACAAAAGGAAAGGAAACTTTCTTTTATAGCACCTCAGGGAACATGCCACCTAAAGACTTTCTATGTAGAGCTACCAACATGAAGAATTGTGGTGGTTGCGAACACTGGCTTGTGTAAATGAAATAGTTTTTTTTTTCTTTTTGGATATATAATCTGAAATATGCTTTCTGATCCTTAGCTTCCTTATCTCCATGAGGATTATTGCTCCTCATTTACATAGCCATTGTGAAGATTAAATAATGTGATTCATAAAAAGTGCCTAATATGATCCCTGTAAATGGTAATCACTAGAATTTTTATTATAACTGATGTGTAGACTGCTGGTCTCAGAAGGCCACAGCTTCCTTCCTCTCCAGAATCTCCAACTGTAGAACTATGGACTAGAACCCTCTGTGAATTTTCAAGGAATATTGTAATTTTAGTATTTTAGCATGACCACCATTTTTCTAAAGAATGCAGTGGCTGTCTGAAGCCTGGGCTTGGCATTTACCTTTGTTTTCAATTTGTATTTTTATTAGTATGTGTTTGCAGTACATAATGATTACATTCATTGCAGGGAATTGGTACTTATACACAACACATCTTGTTTCTTTTTATGCCCCCCATTTCTTGATCCCTTTCCCATTTGCAAAAGATCTGTCTTTTTGTTTCCTATATCTATCTTTTATTTGCTGTTTGATTTATGTATTCCTTGGGTCTCTCCTCTAAGAAAAATCCGTGTGTTAGTTAAGCTTGTACATCTGAATTATTTCACTTAAAATTATGGTCTCAGGGTAGGGATGCAGGGCAGGGTTCCCTTCTACTATACTCCAAGAGGGCCACTTGCCATAATTCTCAATATTTAAACATGATAAAATAATTCTAATGAAATGTGAAGTATAAGGTTCTATTTTCTTAACTTGATAATATATCTGCATAATGACTGGGAATGTCCAGTTCAAATTTCAAATGTTCTTTGAATTCTTTAGAATCTCCCTGAATTTTATCTTGACATATGGTGGTATAAGAAGAACCAAAACATGGCCTGAGCCATGTCCTCATTTTCTCTGTACCTCAGCTTCTGTCTTGTACCCTGAGAGGCTTTGAATGCGTACACAGGATCCTTCTACATGCACAGCCAGGCTCTGTCCAGTTCCTTTGGGAATAGTGTCCTTAGCTACTCTGGGGACTTGGTACATGCTGTGGACTCTGCCTTTAGGCTAGAGCAGGGGAGAAGCCTAAATATTCATTAGAATTGTGCCAGGGGTTCAAGTACCAAGATCCTCGTCTAAAAGAGGGCATGTAAGCTATAAATAGGCTTAGCTCTTTAATGTATGGGGTACTTCATCCTGTAAAGAAAGGAGTGGCTGGATGAGAAGCAGAAAAGGACCCTCAAAAACATAGGATCCAGGTAAGGTTTACTCCTGTGTGGCTGTAAAAGTGTTGTTGTCCCTGATTGCCACCAAACCAAAGGTTGACCTCAACTTACCTTTCTGTAGAAAGACTCAGGATTCTGAAGTAAGGGTTTATCATATAAGCTGAAAGAGGGAACAAAAGAACTTGACTTGTGACTAGGACACCAAAATTTGGTTTGGGCTGTTTTACTAGTTCTGTTTTTTGACTCATTCCTTAACATTTCTTCGCTGCATTACTAATAAAAGGAGGTTGGTATTAGTTTTCTGTTACTGGATAATCAGTCACCTCAAATCCTTGCAGGTTAAAATAACAGGCATACATAAACTTAGTTTCTGGATGCCAAGGATTTGGCAACAATATAACTGGATTGTTCTGGCTCTGAGTCTTTCATGAAGTTGTAGTGCAGAGGTCAGCTGGGACTGCAGTATATTGAAGGCTTGATTGGGGCTGGAAAGTTCACTTCCAAAGTGGCTGATGGCCATGGCTGTTATAGTCACTTACCCAGGTTTTCATTGGCTGTTTGTAGAAGTTCTCAGTATCTTGGCATTCTCCATATTAGCATTCTCAGGACATGTCAGCTGGTTTTCCCCACAGCAAGTGATCCAAGAGAAACGAGGAGGATTTCTTTTATGATGCACCCTTGGAAGTCACAACTTATCATATTAAACGCATCCTAAAAGTAGGGTAATTAAGTTTCACTATTTGAAGAATATGGATTTTTGAGCATACTTTAAAGCCATTTCAGGGGTTGGGGATATAGTACAGGGATAGAACTCCTGTCTGGTAAATACAAGGTCCTGTGTTTGATCTTCAGCACTGAAAAACAATAAATAAATAAACCACAATAGGATTATATGTTTGAAAATAAATATTTACAAAAAACAAAGTTCTATAAATATAATATATTAAAATTAAGGACCATTTCTTCAGTGTACTCCCTGAATTTCTTTAGTTTACTTACTCAGAAGCTCCAAGGCCTTCATAGAAATGGGGCTGCTTTCAGCCTGGTATGATATTTGCCTGAAATTGAATGGGGTTGAATTCTATAATCTGGAGGTGTTAAAAATCTGGGATTAATATTACCAGGGAAGGACAGGAATCTCATAGATATTAAAAGATTAGATAATGATCACACAGCTAGACATAGGACCTGAGGATTCTGTCTTGTGTATGATTTCAAATGCCCTGTTTTCTTCACTATGATTTATCATTTTATAATGACCAAATCCACAGAGAAAGAAAACATGAGCACACAATATTACCTTAACACAATTCCATGGTGTAAAGTATGGCTTTTAATTTTAGTTACATTTTTATCAAGGATAACCTTGGGGATATTTTTTTCTATTTCTTAAAAGTGAAGTAATTATAGGATCTCATGTAGTTTGAAGGAATCAGAGGGGTTTTAAAAATATACACCGCATTCAATTTCCCCAGTAAAATGTTTCATAAAGTTAATAGTATAATATCATAAACAGGATATTGGTATGAATCAGTCCACTTATATCCTTCAGATTTTCCAAAATTTTCAGATTTTAATCATTTATGTGAGTTACTCTGCATAACTTTCTCACCTCTCTAAATTAATATATCCATAATGATAGTCAAGTTGCTAAGGGATCTGACATTACTAGGTCCTGACTTATCTTTTTTATAGCCACACTCTCTACTGTCCTGACTCTGTAGCTCCATTCTTTCTAAATCCTGGCTACTACTAACCATCTTCTATTTCTAAAATTTTGCCATTTCCAAAACTTGTATAAGTGGAATCACATAGTATATAAACTTTTGGGATGGTTCTTCATTCAGCATGATTCTTTGAGGAGTTTTCCAAATGGTTTTATATCAATTGTGTGTTTCTTTTTGTTGCAGAGTATTGTTGCATGATATATACTACATATGTACTACATTTTGTTTAACCATTTAACTACTGAAGGGCATCTGGGTTGAAATCAGTTTTTGGATGTTAGGATAAAGCTTCTAAGAACATTCATCCATATGTTTTTGTGTGAACATAAGCTTTTCATTTTTCACATAAATGTGCAGGAGTAGAATTGAGGGATAATATGATAATTGCACATTTTAATATTTTTAAAAACTGCCAAATTACCAAACAATCACACTTGCATGTAGAATCTAAAAAGGTCAACCTCATAGAAATTGAGAGGAGAACACTGGTTACTGGAGCCTGGATGGAATAAGAGACACAAAGGATGGGGAAGGTTTGATCAATAGGTGTTTGTTATAGATATAAGAAACAGTGCTGTAGTTTTATTGCAGGGTAGAGTGACTATATATAGCAATAATGTACTGTATATTTCAGAAAAAGTTACAAGAAATGACTTTGAATGTTTTCAACACATAGAAATGATAAATGTTTATGGAGATAGAGATGTTCAATCTGAGTTGAACATTACACAATGTATACTTATACCAAAACATCACATATATCCCATAAATATGTTCAGTAAAAAGAGGAAAAAAGAGGAGAAAAACCTATCATGGTAGTTTTTCAGAGCATCTATAGCATTTCAGTTCTCCAGAAGCAATCTATCAACTTTCATCACATCCTGAACCATTTTCAGTGTGGCCTGCGTGTTTTATTTTGATTGCAGTAATGGATGCATAGTGAGATCTCATTATCTTTTTAATTTGAATTTCTCTAATGACTAATAAGTTTGAAGAAATTTTTATGTATTCACTTTTTTTGAATTTGTAGATCCTCTTTGGCCTAAATGCCTTTTGTCCATTTTGGGATTAGATTAATTTTGTATTGTTGAATTTTGAGCTCTCTTTATATAATCTAGGTATTAGAATTTTGTTGGACATGTGGTCTGTAAATAAACATTGATTCCTCCTTATAGCTTTTATTTTAATCCTCAGGTGAGCTTTTACAAAGTAATGTTTATTATTTTGATGAGATCAAATTTTCCTTTTATGGATAGCAATTGTAGTTGTCAAGTCTAAATTCTATTTGCCTAAACCCAGGTCCTAAAATGTCTTATGTCTTTATTTCTAAAAGTTTTCAGGTTTTGTATTATAGTTAAATCTATAGCTCATTTTGGGTTCATTTTTTGTGTAAAGTGTGAGGTTTAAGTAAAAGCTTAGTTACATTGTCCAATTGCTCTGTACACATTCGTTGAAAATGCTAAACTTTCTCTGCTAAAATCATTTGGTGTTTTGTCCAAAGTAAGCCAAGAATATTTTTGTGGGACTGTGGGGGGCCTTGCCCCCCCCCCCCCGAACTCTTGAGTGCCTTTTACGGGCATGTCTGGGCCTGCTGCAAGTCTACC